CCAAGAACACGCTGCAGCGGCTGCCCCAGCTGCGCTGGGAGGAGGCCGACGCGGTCATTGTCTCAGCCAGGTACGGCAGCCCTTCCCTGAGCTCAGCCCGTCCCCCCGCCCGCTGCGTGGGGAAGGAGGGGACCCCAGGACCTCCCAGGCCCCCAGGACCGGTCCGCTGCCGCGGTCGTAGCTTCGCCTCCTGACCTCACTCACCTTCCGCAAGACCGCAGCCAACCCGGCCATCTGGTCTACTAGTGTTCAGCCTGCTTTTCCTCCTTCCTCCCCTCCAGAGCAGGCCAGCATGTGACTAAAGCATCCCTGTGAGAAACACACCAGGGCGCAGGGCTAGGGACCGGGACAGGGGCCGTGGTCACGCAGGGCAGTGGCTGGGGGACAAGGCGTGGAGCAGGGGAGGCCAGACTCTGCTCCATCCTGGAGTAAGGGCCAGCACTGGGCAGGAACTTGGCGTCCGACTGGGAGAGTGGCCAGGGGAGCTGAGGTGGCTTTGGGACCCGGGGCCACAGTGAGGGGCAGGCAGTGCAGTGGCCAGGCGGCCTGTGGTACGGGGCAACCGTGGCCTCCTGCATCCCCCAGCGGAGGCCACTCTCAGCCACACATTCCCAGCAGTCTCTCAGGGTGGCCCCCCTTGGAGTCCTGAGAGAGGACTCAGTGTCCACAAATGGGGGAAGGACGAAAGCCCCAGGGAATGGGGTGGCCTGAGGCACAGCATCCAGGAAAGTACAGGACGTGGAGGTGGGGCCGTGGGGGACCCCCGGCAAGCCTGGCCTGGGGGAAGGTGGGTTCTGGTGCCCTGAGGAGCAAGTGAGCCCATGGCACGGTGGCCAGGCCAAGAGGGGGAAAGCAGCTGCAAAGCCCTCCCACTGTCCCTCTGTCTCCCCAGGCTGGTGTCCTCTGTCCAGGCCATCATGGCCTCCACCGCGGGCTACATCGTCTCCTCCTCTTGCAAGCACATCATTGATGACCAGTAAGTGCCATGCAGCCTGCACGACCCTGGGCCTCCTGGTCTTTGGGGAGCTCAGTGGGCCCCGGACCCTGACCTGGGCCTGGGCGAGTTCACTGAAATCACTGCAACTCAACACCCCAGAATAAATTTATCCTGTCCCGTCTGTCCTTAAAGGTCAGAATCAGGGGAGCAGGAACGAGGATCAAAGAGAATCCGCCAGGGGGTTTGTGGTCGGCTTCTGGCCCCTTGCAGTGTGCCTGCCTGTGTCACTTCCTCCCGACCGCCGCCCTCTCAGCCCTCCTCGGTCCTCAGAGCCCGGTGTGGTGTCCGCCAGCTCCGAGCCCAGGGAGAGTAAAGAGCGACAGCGGGTCGCCGAGGGGAGGCCGAGGGGGGCAGGGAGAAAGACGAGGCCGGGGTTTGGCGCGGGCAGGTGCCGCAGAGCCTGGCGCGAGCCCAGCTGGGCTAGGCGGTGGGGCCCTGTCCATGGTGCTGACTGCTCCTGGCCCGAGCGCTCAGCTCTGGCTCGGCTCCCCTGCTCCGATTGGGGTCCCTTGGCCCAGGGGACTTGTCTCGGCGGGGCCAAGAGCAGAGCCAGAGTATCCCTCAGCTTGTTCTGGGAAGAGCGAACTGGATCACCTCCCGCCTGCTGGGTCCAGCTAAGCTGCTCACTTCCCACCCAGGGGTCACCTTGTGTCTCTCATTTCCTCCCCTCCAAGCCTGCTCTTGTCCCTCTTTCCCCTCCCTTTAATCCTCAGGTAGGTGGAGAGGGTCAGGGTTAATCCAAGGGCACCAGCTGTTCCCAGTTCTGAGCACCTGACTGCCCAGTGCCCGGGGCTGGGGCTCACCGTGCAGGGCAGCCTGCCCGAGTCCCAGGCCCAGGTCTGCCTGTCAGTTCTTGGCTCCTTGCCCTCAGGGAAGGCTCGTGGGGTCGGTCCCCTCCCTGTGTTCCTGCCGTTTGTTGGGGGCAGCTGCCCCATCACATTCCCCAAAACCACTGCCCTTGGCTCAGGTTCTCCTTCCCAGCCTGCCCTCACCTGCCCTCTGCTGACCGCGTGCCCACCCTGTCCTGGGGCTCCTCACAGTTGGCCTCAGTTCTCTGCAGAGAGCCTCCAGCTGCCTGCCTGCCTGCCTCGCCTTTCCGCCCTCCACCCCTCCTCAGACCTGTCTCGGGATACACTATTCAGAGGAAGCGCCCTGTGCTGACTCAAGGAGAAAAATGCAAGGGTGCATATTCACGCAATTCTCATTTTTGTTTACTCCCAAAGTGCAGAGAACTTTCTCTGTGCTTGGCACCTTTTACTCAGCACTTTCTCCTTAATGCTCAGCTAGATGTGAAAAAGCTTGGGCCACCACAGGCAGGGAGAGCAGCACAGCAGCACCAGAAGGGCCCAGATGCATCTAGAGTGAGCTGGGGACTGCGGGGCCCAGACCAAGGGCTGTGGCTGTTGCCTTGGCCAGGTCACCTAGCCCCTCCCCCCATGACTGTTTCCTCATCATTATAATGGAGACGGAGGTAACCTCACCTCCTCTTCTAGGGTTTGTGTGACAGTAAATAGGTTTGTGCTGTGTGAAGATTTAGGTATTGGAACGGTGCCTGTACAGTACGTGAACAGTTAGTTGGTGTGCTGCCGCGTGACCTCTTCCTGTTATGCCCAGACCTGCACTGGCGATCCGCACCCTGCATGGGCTCCTGTCCTCCCTCCATGGCTGCCCTTTGGTCTGGCAGCATCCTTGCTTGCTTCTCCCACTCTGCTGTGGGGCGGGGTGGGCTCCGAAGTAAGCCTGCTTTGGAGCCCAGCCCACCACTGCCTGAAAGTGTGGCTGTGTGACCTTGACCGGGTTCTCACGTGGCACCCCAGTTCCATCGTCTGCAGCCCGAGGCTCCCTTCGTTCTCAGGGCTGCTGTGAGGACCCTGGAGGTCTGATTCACCTCCCACAGAGCTGCTCATGCACCGGCCTTCCTGTCTTCCTGACCCTTTTCTCTGCCCGACAGACACTGGCTGTCCTCTGCCTACACGCAGTTTGCAGTGCCCTACTTCATCTACGACATCTATGCCATGTTCCTCTGCCATTGGCACAAGCATCAGGTCAAAGGGCACGGAGGGGACGACGGGGGCCCCCAGGCACTGGGCAGCACCTGGGCCGTGGTGCGCGGCTACCTGTACAAGGAGTTCCTCATGGTGCTCCACCACGCCGTCATGGTGCTGGTGTGCTTCCCGCTGTCCGTGGTGAGCTGGGACTTCCCTGGGGTGCAGGGGCTGCGGCTGCCCCTGCTCCACAAGGGACCCGTGGGGATGCCTTCACCTTCTCCCCTTGCAGGTGTGGCGACAGGGCAAGGGGGATTTCTTCCTCGGCTGCATGTTGATGGCAGAGGTCAGCACCCCCTTTGTCTGCCTTGGCAAGATCCTCATCCAGGTGAGAGGGCATGGTGGGGCGGCCACTGTCCAGGGTCCTGGGGCCTTTGGCCTACGGAGAGGTGGCAGAGGACCCCGCCACCTGCGCTGTCCCCACCCTGCCACCTGCTCTGTCTGCAGTACAAGCAGCAGCACACCCTGCTGCACAAGGTGAACGGGGCCCTGATGCTGCTCAGCTTCCTGTGCTGCCGGGTGCTGCTCTTCCCCTACCTGTATTGGGCCTATGGGCGCCACGCCGGCCTGCCGCTGCTCGCAGTGCCCCTGGCCATCCCGGCCCATGTCAACCTGGGCGCCGCACTGCTCCTCGCCCCCCAGCTCTACTGGTTCTTCCTCATCTGCCGCGGGGCTTGCCGCCTCTTCTGGCCCAGAGGCTCCCGGCCGCCCTCTCCCTGTCAGGCCCAGGACTGAGGTGGGGCAGGGGCCGTCCCCATCTGTACCCCCTGGGTGGGGCTTTGGGGCTGAGGGCAGGGGCTGGAGCCAGGGGTCCTTGGCTTAACAGCCCCAAGACTGACAGATGGACTCAGAAGGACAGGGGACAGCCACCCTCAGGGCTAAGGACGTGATCAGGTGACCAAGTGGAAGATGGGGGAGGGGTCTCTTCTCCTGACAGAGACAAGAGCCCAGGGCAGGGCCAGTGACCCTTCCCTAGCAGCTCATGTCGTGCTAGGGAAGAGGAAGGGAGTGTCCTTTCCACTGCGAGGCGGGAGGCCTGTGAGGAGAGCGAAAACTCAAGGGGTCCAGGAGTCAAAGGATGTGGGGGGCCCTGCTGCTAAGGACACCCTAGCCCCTCTGCTGCAAGCCCTCTCTGCTCCCTGCCATCTGGGAGGGGAAGACACCCTCACTCTCCCTGTGGGCCTCACAGGCCCGGCTGCTCCCACGGCTCTTCTGTGGGGAATCTTATTTATTTTATTTTATTTATTCACCAAATTCAACGTAATTTGTTGGGGTGGGGGAGGGAGATGGCTGCTCCCCCTTCCCGCCTCCCCAGTGCTGAGCATCCCGGGCAAGTGAGGCCACCCACCTCGCCCTCGGGCCCTGGCATGTCCCTGGTGCTACAGACCGCTCAAGGCTTCCTCCACTCTGGGGTCAGGACCCTGGGAGGTGCTTCACAGACTGCTAATAAAGACAACCTGCGTGAACGCCACCAAGGCCAGCTCCGTCCAGTTCTTTGAGGCTACAAAGGGGAGAGGTGGGGGCCTGGTGTGAGGGGAGCAACAGGACCCCTCCTGCTGGTCAGTGAGCAGTCAGGAAAGACAGAGTCGAAGTCGAGAACCTTTATTTATCAGTGGGCAAAAAGGGCATCCTGGGCCCCTGGCTGCGTCCATGATCCTTGTCGGCTCTCTAGGCTCCTTGCTGGCAGCTCCTGAGGGGTATGGAGACCAGACAGCAAGTCACGTACCACTTCCCGAGGGGCAGGGCCCTCTGGACTCCCTGGAGAGGTAGAGGGGTGGGCTGGGGCACGGGGCAGGCCTCACATGTGGATGAAGAACTGGAAGAGGAGGTAGAAGAAGGCCAGCACCAGGATGCCCACCAGGATGCGATGGAAGAGCCCAGGGCCAGAGCCTGCCAGACAGGAAGGGTCAAGGCCACTCTTTGGCCCCGGCTGGGAGGAAGGAGGCTTTTCCACATCTGGCTCCTACCTGAGTGGACAAACTGCACAGGTCTCTCTCCAATAAACTGGGCCACGGCCAGGAGGCTGGTTTGGTCTGAGTCTGGGTAATCAAAGAAGTTGGGTCTGTCTATGAAGCGTGGAGATACTGCTGCTGGGGACAAAGCCTTGGTGTGCGCTGGCCTGGGCACTAGGACACAGGGTGAAGTGTGACAACAACCAAGCTGACTCCCCCAGCCCCACCATGACAGGGGTGGAGGCCCTGTTGGTTTTGTTCCCAGGGTGAGCCAAGCACCCAAGGGAGGCTCATTTTGGCTGGGAGGGGAGGAGTGGGAGGAGGTGGAGGGAAAACAAGGCCCAGGGCTGGACTCCTGGGACAGGGCAGTGTCCTGACCCCTGGCCTCCCTCCTTCCCCCTGTCCCTGAGTCTGCTTCCCACCGGCTCCTCGGGCCTGCAGCCCAGCCAGCCACACCCACGCGGGCAGCCACTGCCCCAGCCTCATGAGTCTCCGTCCCTCGATGGGGTGCTGCGCTCTCTGTGACGTCACAGCCCAGAGCCATTCTAATGGAGTAGCTAGGGTGGAAGGAGGAAGTGCTGGCAGCTGGGCTTCCATCCACCTGTCCATCCCCTACGGGGCGGGGGGCGGCCCGCGGTGCCTTTGTCCTTCCTAAAGCTGAGGTGGTGGTGGGGGCTGGGAGGGGCAGCTCAGGGGTCCAGCGGGTGCCTCACCTGGTCAGGGTCTGAGGTTAACCCCCCAGCACCATAAATGAATAAATAAAAATGGTGGCTCAAGAATTTATACATAGAAGGATGGACGGGGCGCTCTTGCTGAACGAAAGCTGATCTGTGACAGGTGCGTTTGCCTGGGAGGCACATTTTGGGTTAGGAGTGTGGAGCAGGGTTAGGTTGTTCTATTTGTCCCTGGGATGAACCTCAGGTAGCATTAACGAGCGCTTCTTCATATGGTAAATGACCACCGCGGCGGCCTCACGTGGTCGATTCTCCAGCCCCTTCCTACAGAAGGCAGAACCAAGGCTCAGAGGGGAGGGGTGCGGCTCCACTGGGCTCCCCTCGCCTCACGCCCCCAGATCCTGCCGCACAGGGTCTCCGGGTCCACCGCAGCCCGTCCTGGGTCCCGCGGACAGGGACGGGGACAGCGAGGGGCGGGCTTCCCTCGCTAGGGGGCGGTAGCGCGCAGGCCTTGCGCCCGGCTCCCGCCACTCCGCGCAGGTGGCGTCTGTGCGGCAGCAGAGCGGGCTCCAGGGCCCGGCGGTGTGCGGGGGCCGTAGTTAGGGGATCCCTGGCCCGGCCCCAGGGAAGTCCCTGGCCCTCCGGGGAGCCTCGCAGGCTGAGCTCGTCGCATCGATACGCCCCTCGCTCGTCCTTTCCCGCAGCGCTGCGCTCCAGGGCCCCTGCGGTTGGGAAACCAGCTCCTCTCCAATTGGCAGGGAGGCCTGTCCGTCACAGGCGCGTTCCCGCCCACCCGGCCAAGGACACTCAGGGTCTCCCCATCTTCCCGCCGCCTCGGGGTCCTCCCGCTCCCGGGGCCCCTCTCTGTCAGTCCACGCTTCCTCTGCCTCGCAACCCCAAGAGGTCGTTGCTGTGATCAGCTTTAATTTCCTAACTAGAAAAAAGCCCAAGACGGAAAGATGAGGGAAAGGACATGCACTGGAGGTGGGGTGGGGGTTGTTCCCAGCCTGGCTGACCTTTAAAGTTTTCTTTGGCTTCTTTCGGTGCAGTTTTGTCCCCGTCACTCCACTGACACTACTTTGGTCAAGTCTAGCTATGACCTCTTTTATTTGCCAAATTGAATGAGACTTCTTTTTTCACTCTGTCTCTCAGTGGGGTGCCTGTCCCTGGTGTGAACCCAGGAGCCAAACTTGCCAGTTCTCTGGGTCCTCCTCTTGCCAGCTCAGCCTTGGGTCCTCTCTTTTCTATGTATATCCACTCCCCTAGGTGATCTCATCGAATCCCATGGCTTTAAATACCAGCCATATACTGGTGACTCACAAATGTATATTTCCAGCCGAGACCTCTCTCTGGAGCTCCAGGCTCTGATATCCAGCTTCCTGCTTGATGTCTCTGTGTCCAAAAACATCTTGTGTGCATCAGATCATAGATGAGGCTCGTGATTCCATGCCAAGCCTCTCCCTGCTGGGCATTTCATCTCCATGGTGCTCCCCCAATCCTCTACATGTTCTGACAACAGAGTGCGGGTGGCCTCAGACCCCTGCCCTGCTCTCTCTCACCTGACCAGCAGCAGTGGAACCCTGCAGTTCGATTCTCAGCCTGTCTGCCTCCTGCCCTGGGCTTCCCTCCTCTGCCAAGTCACAGCCAAGTTTCGCCTCGCTAACTGCGACAGCCTTTGGATGTTTATTTTTGCTGGCCAAGACCTGCCCTCTGTCTGCCAGCAGAGCCAGCTGAAACAGATGGAGCCACTACTGAAGCCCCTGGCTTCCTTCAGTCCCACGCAGTTCTGAACTTCACCTTCGCCTACAAGCCCCTGCCCGCCTGTCCACTGAGGCCGCTCTCACCATCCCCTCCCTGGCCTTCTCCAGCCAAAGAGCTCTGGCCTGCTCTGCAAGCGCCCGCGGTTCTTGAGCGCCTCCCAGCCTGTGCAGACCTCAATTCCAACCCTGCACAGGTGAGTGGCACCCACTCTTCCCTGGCCTCACCTTGGTCGGTTGGGTTGGAATCGCTGGATTGGAATCGCCCGAGTTAATGTCCATGTCTCCTGCGAGGTGACAGAGCAGGAGATCACTGGGCTCTGCTCTGGCGCAGTGTGGGCGCAGTGTGCACCGTGGTGTGAGGTGCTAAGAAGTCTGGCGTGGGAGGAGAAACAGTGGAGCCCAGTGGCCCAGTGGCTCCACCTGCCTGGCCAGTCCTCCACAGCCTCTCCTTGCTCTGGACTCTTTTCTTATCCCCATCTTGAAAATGTGTGGTCCCACATACATAGAGGTTTTCCTCACCAGTAGAGCGTGTGCCTAGCATGGGTGTGGTCCTGGGCTTGGCCCTGGCACACACAGATGCACATACACGTGGATATGGACATGCATGTAACAAGTGCATGCATTCATACATGTTTTAATGTGTTATTTGAAACAGGCAACATAGGTCCACAGTATAGAAGTGAAAAGGCTCAGGAGGGTGTATATCTCAGAACTCTCTCCTATGCCTTCCTTTCCTGCCCTACAGCAACCTCTTTAGAGGCATCACAGGTACCATTTATTCTCTTATGTGGTCTTCTGGAAATAATTTATGCACAAATAAATACGTAAAAGCTCTTTCCCTCCTGGCTCAAATCGCAGCATTCCACACATCCTGCTCTGCACCTTCTTTAAGTTAAACAGATTGTGAAGTTCATCATGGTCCTTTTCTTTTTTGTGGCTGTATACTATTCCAGAGTAGGGAGTCATGTCATGACTGACTTAAGCAACACTTTACACTTGGATGTTTCCCATCTTTCCGTGCATGCTGCAATGAAGAACTTTGAATTAAGCCGGACATGGTGGTGCTTGCCTGTAACTCCAGCATTTAAGAGGGAGACTGAGGCAGGAGGACAGAGAACTCAAGGCTGGCCTGAGCTATGAAGTGAGATCCTGTCTCAAAAAATATGATTAAATACAAACAAAATTTACGTGATTTTTTGTGTATGTGTAGAGGTGTGGGTGCTGAGCCCCCGCTCTACTACTGGGGCGCACACCCAGCCTCTCCCATTGCGAAAGGCGGTGCAGAGCCCACCTCGCGGTGACAGCCCCGGCTAAGCACCAGTGTAGGTGAGGACAGCTAGAGGCGGCCCAGTTTGGGGCCCTCGGGACTCAGAAATGAATCACCCCTCTGGCTGCCGCAGCCCCTGGGCTACAGACGCAGAAACGGGGAGGCAGCGCACGCAGAGTGGCAGAGGTGAGTCCGACGCTCCAGGAAGACGCAAGAGCAGCGCGACCGGGTGCCCAGGGCAGGAGGGCGTCTCCGGGTGCTCATCTGTGACCTGCGTCGGACAGGTGGAGGCCGCGCTGCTCTGCGGGGCGTGACGGCCCGAGAAGTCTTGGCCTCTCCGCAGGCTCAGTTCGGGGACCAGGAGGAGGGGATCAAAGGCTGGGGCAGGGCTGGGAGAGGCTCGGCTCGGCTGCCCGGGCCCCACTGAGGCTCCCTCCGACGCTGCCCTAGGACGCAGAGTTGGCTGTGGGAGGGTGGATCCCCGAGGAGAAGCTGCCCCGAGGAGGACACTGGGGCCCGGGGCGGCTGGGGCTTGGGGGCCCG